AGTTGGGAAAATCCTCTCTATTTTCTTTTTTTTTTCCTTTTTATGCTTTGGTTTGGAGCTTATGAATCAAGTTTTCCGGCGATATTGTCTCGAGTAAAGTTTCGAGCTTTTGACTCCAGTTTTCTTTCCAAGTGCGTGTGAGAGTGGGTACTTAATCTTAAGCCCTATTACTTCGTATATCGTTATTTGCTTTTTGTGAAAATTGATATTGTGCTTGTGTTGCTTGGAGGAAAAGATTGAATCTTTAGATCATGAATGCTTGACTAAGTGTGATTAGGAATTGAATGCTTGCTCGTCTTGTGCTAGAGTTTGGTTTAGCTTCCTAGGGTTTTAGCTAGCATGGCAATGTTCGGTTATTTGCGTGTGATTGATCATGGAGACTCCGGCAAACCAAAATCTCTCTTTCCCCCTTGATTTCTCTCATCTTTTTGCGTGCTTAGTTAATTGCTTTCAGTGCCCTCAATTTCGTAGATTAGTTTAGCTTAAATCAATCCATTTCAAGCGAGTAGAATGTGTAGGACCTACTTTTCGGTTGTGAGACTTTGACGACTAGGTAGTGAACAAAGCTCCGAAGAGCCTTCCTTTGAGAACGACCCGAGTCGGGTAGCTCGGTTACCACATGCCCAAAAATACTACAAACAAAATGGCGCTGTTGCCGGGGAAGGCGAGTAGGCCATTGGATTTAGACAATTGATTGACTTATTTTCCGTATTTCTCTTGCTTTTTGTGATTTTTGTTAATTTTGTGTGTTCTCTTGCTTATTTGCTTCTTTTGTATTTCTCTTGCTATTTGGTGTTCGAGCTCTTGTATATATTGTGTCGTGTTATTCGTGTTTTGTGTTATTTTGTCTTGGTCTCGTGTGCCTTGGTTTGTTTGTTGTTCTTGTGCGAGGTTATCCGCTTGAGGGGCTCCGATGGACCCGTATGATTATTCCTATGTTGGAAGCTCGTCTTATGGACACCCCGACAATTACCAAGAGGAGATGTAGACAACATATGGAGAGCCGTCTTGTTTATATCCGAGTTATTCACCTTCTTACTCTTATGACGGATGCTCTACTTCCCATGGTATGGCCCGAGCCATTTTTACCCGACATCTCGAGCCGATTTTTGTTATTACTCTCCGTGTCACGACGAGGCGCCTCACTATTATCCGCCGCCTCCTAATTTTTATGATGCGACATCTCCACCCGAGCCGACTCAGGAATCTTCTCGAGTCAATCTAACCGAGATTATGGAGCACTTAGAGGAGTGCAATCGATCTCTTCGCGCTTCAATGGCTCCCACATCCAAAAATGAGGAAACCGAGTCCCATGTTCTATCTTCTCCATCATTTGAGCACCTATCGGTTGGCCAACCTTGTACATCGAGGACCGAAGCTTCAATTCCACCAACGGTTGTGCCTTTCCAACATCACCGAGAGGTTTGGGCGAGCACTCAAGAGGCAATTGCGAGCCTCGCGTCGATCATTGAGGATTTTTATAGTTGGAGGTGCATTCCGATTCCATCCGTTCTTCAAGCTACACTTGAGAAGTTCGACTCTTCCGTGGTATCCTTTCTTGATTTGGACGCATTGCACATTTCGTTCGGTAGATATTGTTCTCTATCGGCGAGGATTATTCGAGAGAGCACCCGGTTAGAAGGCGAGTTTTGAGCTATGGTGGATAGGTTTGCCTCCTTGAAAGAGGTGGGCCTCACTCTCGTTTATGATGGACCACAATATCTCGACACGAGTGAGGACATCGACGATTTGATTGTTAAAGAAATTCCCCCTCTTGACGACTCAGACTTGCAATCTACGAAAGGTACGTCAAATTTCTCTTTTGGTGATAGTTCTATGAGCTTTGATTCGATTATTGAGGATGAGAGTATGTGTGTGGATTCAGGTGTTGGTATGGTGTATGGGATGGGAGAGAATTCATTTGAGGATTCGATTGTGCCGAACAATGTTGCTAGTGCTCGGGAGGATGATATTGAAGTGAAGGATGTAGTAGTTCATGATGTTGTGGATGTTGTTGAGGAGGGTTCCGAGCTATTATGTGATGTCGTTGACCCGAGGTGTGAGTTGATTGATGAGTCGACTTGTGATGTTGAGTATGACGTGGTTCCCATGTCCTTAGGGTCGTCGTTTCGTATTATTGAGGATCGTGACAATTTGGAGGAGTTTTGTGTACGTACGCCCGTGCTCCCGATGTTTGAGCTTGATGAGTACACGTTTGAGATAGTGCAAACGATGCCCGGGATTGATTCGACGTGCTCCACGTATATTTTTATATTTTCGGAGGTCGAATATGGGGCCTTGATTCGTAATGATTCATCTCCCTTATTGGTTGTTGTTGATATCCGTGCTCGGTTTCACAAGAACGCGGCCACGAGAGCTTACCTTGCCCGCCTTTGTTCCGTACTACCGTCGGGACTTCTCTTGGAAAATATAAAGGCGTGGCAT